AAACATGTCAAGATTAGAGCTTCCTCAAGCGTATTGGAGATTAAAGTGCTAAATTAAAATCGCATTATGCCCTCCACAGTGTGTGTGATGAGCAGACAGCTGCAGCTCCAAAGGAATCCAGTTGTTGTGGTGGCAAGTGAAGACTGAGCAGGCAGGGGCTGAGCTTAGGACATTCTAGCAGCATAAAGGACAAATCTTGAGCCACCTAGAGCAGTCTGCAGCTCATGCATTCAAATGCAAGCACAGCTGCACACATGGGAAAGGACAAACCTGGCTATCACAAAGCCCTGCCCCATAAAAACAAGGCTGGGATAACAGTCATCACTGCTCAGTACCCGTTCTCCCCACTTTCTAGCCTGAGCCCCCATCTTCTCTGCTCTTCTATTATGTATTCTAAATTGCAAGAAATGAATCTCTAAGCCAGCCTGGCAGCCCAGCACACCGATTCCTCCGATTATCTCAGCGGTGACTAATAGCTGATACACCACACTCGCTGATGACTGCAGCTCAGAATTTTACCTCCCTAGTTTCAGCAGGGCCCCAATATTTCACAAACTTCCAGCACAGGAGGCCCCGGCATTAATTCAGCAGGCAATGGCAGGACACCCTCCAATCAGCCAGTGGCAAAAACACACACACGTGTACATACAGGCCCAGGCACCACAAGGTTGGGACAAATCCCTGCAGTAAGGGACTAGTGCAGAGCCCAGAATATCTCACAGCAAGAACTTTGTACAACACAGCAATGCAGCCCGGTGAACAGCTGCAGGCAAGGCTGAACAGCTTTTGGAAGCACGATACTCTGCCCTGGGAATCTGGGGTTCATCCCAACATATTCTCACCTGCGGATGGTAGACACTGAGAGACTTCACCTTGTGCAGTGGTAACAAGACCCGGATGAGAAACATCTTGTGCTCTTCTTTCAGAGGCAAAGCAAACCCATTGATTATGCTGAAAAGAAAAACGGGTCTCGTTAACGTCTTTACCCAGCTGAAATACAGTTATCTCTCACCGCAAAACAATCAGTGGCTTGCATTAGCTCTCATTAATCGCTTGAGAAAGCGCCCACCGGCAGCAGTGTGGTCGCTGGGGCCCAACCTGCACACCATGCTGGGCAGGCACAGAGGGGAAACGCCTCCGACGGGGCCTGGGCCCTGCTCTGCCCTGCGCCAGGCCAAGCGCACCGCAGGGAAGCAGATCCTCTGGGGAAGGCCAGCACAGAGGCAGCCCAGCCTGCGAGGCTGGTGCTTTACACAACAGGAGGATGGAGGCATAACAGAGGGCTGCAAATGGAAGGGCAGTTGTGAAGCCATGGAGAAGGCTGCCCACTGCTCAGGCTTCTCAGGGCTGTGAGGAACACTTTTACTGCCTGCTGAGGCAAGGCAGCAAGTGGGACTGGACTCAGACTCAAAAGAAGAGGAGACAAATCCGAGGAGGAGAAGGCTAGCACTGCGTTTATCAGCAGGCTGGAGAGCACTTTCACTCTGTGCTTTGTCAGACAGAGATCCTCTGGAAGAGGTGGCTCCTGCAAGAACTGCGGAAGGAAGACACTGCCAGCTCACACAGCGCACTGGGCTGAGAGGTCTCACTCACTACAGGCCCTCTGGGAGTTCCAGAAGTGCTCGTACCTTCCCAGGATTTCCAGCAGCTCTGCAATCCCGTTGTGGTGCTCTGTTTCGTAGATGAACCTAAAGAGAAGGGAACAAGGAGAGGTCATTGCCAAACACTGGATACAGTTTGATAAGCAAAAGCAAGTAAAACCACTGGAGACAGGGATTTTCCTAGCAAGTAATGGAACTCAAAGACGACAGGGCAAGGTGTAAGACAGAGAAACAAATTCATGGCCCCCAGATTAGCTAAAGCTCACAGACCCTGACATTTGTTCTTGCCAACAAAGACAGCACTATCACATTGTGCTGGTTTTAATCAGGTCTTTCTCAGCTTCCCATACTGCCCCTGCGTTCCCAACTCTGTCAGTACAAGCAGTGTGTGGGGACACACAGCTCAGACAGCTGACCCCAACTGACCAAAGGGGTGTTTCGTTCCACAGCACGTCAGGCTCGGGACATAAGCAGAGAGTGGGCTCGGGGGCCATAACGCTTTCGCCAACTCTTCTGTTAGCGCCTTAACTCCTTTGTTAGCTGCTTTGCTAATTCCTTTGCTGGCTCGTTCATTAGTGAGTTGATGGGTCTCTTGGCCTTCCTGGTCATGCTGTCGCTTGTGGGGCTCACCTAGACTCTGCTGTGATCGCTCTCGGCCTCCAGCTCTCAGGCTCTGATTCTTGCCACTTGGGCCCTGGCTGTGTATTGGTCAGCGAGCAATTGTATCATATGTTTGATTTTCT